TTAAAGTTTTGGAGGATTACACTTGTGATTTAATGTTAAATCCTTTACAAGGCTTGATATAATCCTACAAATCGTTTGCCAAAACTTTTAAGCATCTCATTCAATCTCGAGAGGGGGCAAATATAGTTTGAGGACAACGATCCGATGTTCAAGCCTCAAATTCGTTTTTGACATATTTCATGATTTCTATTCATTTTGTTTCTATAATTTTGTTGTTGTTTCTTCTCCAACCCCCTATTTTCCAACAATCTCAAACTATATCCTGCGATCGAGAATGATACAACTATCAAAACTATCAAACTCATAAATCAAGATCTGGTTAGATTGGATCGTTTTGACGGGACTAATTTCACGCGGTGGCAAGACAAGTTAAAATTCCTCCTAACGGCGTTGAAGATTTTTTATATTCTTGATCCAGATTTGACGCCTTTCCCGGAACCAACGAATAGAGAATCCGAAACAATCAAGATCGAGAGACAAAAACGCCAAGAAAATGAATTGATTTATACACCAATACAACTTCGGCGAAAGAAATTTGGGAAGCATTGGAAAGTAAGTACAACGCGGAAGAAGAAGATACAAAGAAATTTTTGATTTCTAAGTATTTTGATTTTAAATTCTTAGAAAATTTCCCTCTTCTTCTCCAAGTGCATGAGTTGCAAGTGATTGTCAACAAATTAAAGACGGTGAAAATTGATATACCGGAGACCATTCAAGTGGGGGCTATAATTGCCAAACTTCCCGAAACTTGGAAAGGATACCAGAAGAAGATCATACATAGTTCTGAAGATTATTCTTTGGAACAATTGCAAAAGCATCTTCGAATCGAAGAGGAGTCGAGAATACAAGATAAAAATGAAAATTCTCATGAAGGCTCTTCTAAAGCAAATGCTATGGAAAAAATAGAACCGTCGGCAAAATCCAACAAAAGGAAACCTTCTAGAAACTTTAACAAGTCCAAGAAGAAGACAAAAGGATGTTGCTTTGTGTGTCGAAAATCTGATCACTATGCTAAGGATTGTAGGCAACGAAAACAAAACAATTTCGAGACCAAAGTGAATTCCATCCAAGATGACAAAATTGTGGCCACCATAAGTGAAGTAAACGTAATCAAAGAAAATGTTCCCAGGTGATGGTATGATATTTATGCTATGGTACATGTATCATATGATAAATCTTTGTTCAAAACTTATCAAGAAGTGGATGGAGAACAAGAGATTCAAAATGGGCAATGAGACGCGGTCCAATGTGTTTGGAAAAGGAAGTGTAGACATTATCTTCACTTTCGGGAAAACCGTTACTCTAACTAATGTACTACATGTTCTGGAGATGAATAGGAACCTAGTTACTGGCAATCTCTTGGGAAAATCGGGCATCAAATATGTTTATGAGTCCGGTAAACTTGTACTATCCCTTAACGGGAAATTTGTTGGAAAAGCTTATTCGTGTTAAGGAATGGTCAATTATGTATCCTTGACAATGAAATGAATAAAAGTAATTTTACTTATGTTGTGAATTTATTTTCATTATAACATGCTAGATTAGGTCATGTTGGTAGAAATACAATGAAACGCATGAAAAAATATGACTTGATCTCATATGATGAAAATGATGAACATAAATGCAAAATATGTGTAGAATCTTAAATGATTAAAAAACCATGTCAAAGTGTTAAGAGAACCTCTAGTATTTTAGAATTAATTCATACTGATATATGTGAATTTAATGGTATGTTAACTAGAGGTGGAAATAAATATTTCATAACTTTTATAGATGACTTTTCTAGATATACATATGTTTATTTGATAAAATATAAAAGTGAAGTCATTGATATGTTTAAAACATACAAGAATGAGGTTGAAAATTATCTAATAAAGAAAATTAAAATTTTAAGGAGTAATAGAGGTGGTGAATACTTTTCTAATTATTTTAATTTGTTTTGTGAACAACACGGAATTATTCATCAATGTTATGCACCTAAGACACCCGAACAAAACGGCTTGGCTGAAAGAAAAAATAGAACATTTGTAGAAATGATAAATGCCATATTTATTCATGCTAAGTTGCCATTTAACTTGTGGGGTGAAGCTTTATTAAGTGCATATAGAATACTTAATAGGATTCCTTCAAAATATACTAAGGTTTCTCCTTATGAATTGTGAAAATGAAGAAAACCAAACATTAGATACTTCAAAGTGTGAGGGTGTCTTACCTATTGCAAGAACACGAATCCTAATAGGACCAAATTGGGTCCAGGAGGCATTAAATGTGCCTTTGTTGGATATATAAACAATAGCAAATCTTATAAATTACTAAATTTGGAGTCCAATGTGATTATCGAATCCAACGATATGGAGTTCTTTGAGGATTCGTTATCTTCGGATAATGAATTGAGGGAAAAT